GTATATATATATATATATATATATATATATATATATATATATATATAKACAAATATATAAGTGAAGCATATTACAAGTGGTTAACCTTTGCTTAATCTCCTCTTAATTGTCTATTAATATTCTTATTACTTCATATGAGAACTGTGAATCTTTGTTTAATCCTTTTGGAGTCAACTGAACCTGTATCCATACCTTAAGATCTACTTCACCACCATGTGCAGAAGCACCCCCCCCCCCCCCCAAAAAAAAAAGATCTTGCAAAAGAAGACTTCCCACCCAACCCCAGATGGATCTTGAAGAACACTTGCTCCTTTCTGCAGATTTCATGCTTAATTGTATAGAAATCAGTACTGAATCTTGATCTTGAATCTTAAATCTTGAGTCCTGATCTTGTTCAACAGATCCATGCAATCATCCATGGGCTCCGGGTTTTACGGTTTTCGCGGTTTCTGCACCATTCTGGTTCTCCTCTCTGTTCTTTCATCTATCTCCATACTCTACTGGTCTCATTCCTCTGTTTCCTTCTACTTCCATGAACAAAGACCGGAACCGGGGGTGGGACCTGGTCTGAACCACCCGACCGATCTCCTAACGTTCCCATTGGCATGGAACCACCTTTCGTTTCCGTCAAACCCGCCTCAGAGACTCCTCAAGATTGCACTTTTCGTTAAGAAATGGCCGGACGGGTGTCACGCTGGCGGGCTGGAGCGGCATGCTTTGACGCTCCACCTTGCTCTTGCTAAACGTGGCCACGAGCTTCATATCTTCACCACTTCCTCTTCTGATTCCAACTTTTCTTTCCCAAAATACCCTTACGGGAACCTATATTTCCATCTTTCGAAACCGACGGGTGCGGGTTACCTTGACCAAGCTCTGGTTTGGGAGCAATTCCGAGCTCAAAACTTGATGCAGAAACCGTTTGACGTGATTCACACAGAGAGCGTAAGCCTGATGCATACTCGGTCACGGAACATTTCGAATCTGGCGGTTTCTTGGCACGGAATTGCATACGAGTCCATGCATTCGGATATCATTCAAGAACTCCTACGAGCACCCGATGAACACCCAGCTAACCGGTTGACAGAAAGACCTATAAAAGTAGTCGAAGAGATTAAGTTCTTCCAGAACTACGCGCACCATGTGGCCACCAGCGATCATGTGGGCGACATCTTGAAAAGAATCTACATGATCCCAGATGATCGAGTCCACATCATACTCAACGGTGTCGATGAACACGTTTTTAAGCCAGATCACCAAACAGGTCAAGATTTCCGGTCCAATTTCGGAATCCCACCATCAAAATCATTGATTCTAGGAATGGCGGGTAGGTTGGTCAAGGATAAAGGACACCCGTTAATGTTCGAAGCCCTGAAGCAGCTATTCGTTGAAAACTCGACTTTCCGGGAAACCGTGGCTGTTCTAGTCGCCGGAGACGGTCCATGGGGTGCTAGATACAAAGATCTTGGACCGAACCTAATCATTTTGGGGCCACTACAACAGGGTCAACTGGCTAGATTCTATAACGCCATAGACATTTTCATGAACCCGACTCTTCGGGCTCAAGGTTTGGATCACACTTTATTGGAAGCGGTCCTTTCTGGGAAGCCATTAATGGCTACAAAGCTTGCAAGCATCACGGGCTCGGTGATTATGGGGAAGGAAGTCGGGTATACGTTTTCGCCAACTGTCGATTCGCTCAAGAAATGTCTTTATGAGGTTTGGGAAGATGGGAGGGGAGTTTTGGAGCAGAAAGGTTTGGTGGCAAGAGAAAGAGGGATTAAGCTTTTTACTGCAACAAAAATGGCAGCTGCATATGAAAGACTATTTTTATGCATCTCAAATGGTGATAAGAGCCAAGATTACTGTAAATATTAGCCTAAAAGGGTGCCGTTGGTAGGCAGATATGACAGGACTGGACGGGGTATTAGGGTTTTAATCTGACATGAGTAGCTTAGTAATTTATCAAGTTTGTCCTATCTCTTTGACTTTTGTTCCACCTACTTTGGTGGCCACTTAACCCTGTCTTGTCCTGATCTAATGTCGTACAAGCATGGGACAAGGTTTTATTATGTCATGTCTCATATCCCTAATTTTTGTCCCACCTAATTCGGTGAGACAAAAAAATACATTTTTGTCCGGCTCAGTTGTATACCAGTCTAAGGTTGCACGAGCGTGGGCCAAGTTTTTATTATGTCATGTCTCAACTCCCTAATTTTTGTTCCACCTGTTTTGGTGGGGCAAAAATGCAGTCCTGTCTTGTACCAGTCTAATGTCGCACAAACGTCGGACAGCGAGTTTCTATTTTTTCATGTTTCATCTCCCTGGTTTTTGTTCCACCTATTTTAGCGGGACAAAAAATGCAGTTTTGCCCCCATTAAGTCATGTTCTGTCCCAATCTAATCTCACACAATCGTGGGACAAGAAGTTACTATAATGTCATATCCCATCTTGTCCTGCGTGCCAAGCGCACCCAAAGAGTGTTACCTGAAAATACATGCGAAAGGTTTTGACACGAATAAACCCCTCAAACGGCTCAGCAACGAGCAGAATGGATCAGACCCAACCCACAAGGTGGAGTAGGGTGCACAACTGCATATAGCTCATAGATTCTTGCTCAGGAACTGTACCCTTTTTGCTAAGATGCATAGCATCAAAGCTTTTATTTATATAAAAACCTTGAATATCATACACCAAAAGCCACAAAAATGTCAATTCGCATCAAAAGGAGAACAAACAAAGAGAAAAAAGGTGAGACGATGAACATACTGCAACATTTTCCATATATATCAACAAAAACTTTAAACTTCTATCAAGGCTTCATGGATTTCCTGCAAAATCACATCATAAATAGGCATCGATTTCGTTACTAATCATTCTACAAAAATTTCAAAGTCGATATATAACCATTTTTGGTCCAAGATGTTATCATGGGTCTCATTTACTCGACAAGAAGAGACTCATATGGGAGCCACAAAATGGAGAACAAAGGTACAACCAAACAAGCCCAGTATACCTTACCCTTGTTTCAAGATTTATGTAGATCTTTCCCTTGTTTCAAGAGACAAGGAGGTTGTATGGAAAACAGAGATAAATGAGACATAAAAAAGTAGCATAGAAAAACAAAAACAAAAAACCTAGTACCTCCCACCCATAGGTGGGGTCTAGGGAGGGTGGGATGTACGCAAACCTAATCTAGTAGAGCAGTCATTTCCCTAAAGAAAACCCGGAGGAAAACGAAGCTTTTGAAAGTAAAACCCAAACCAAACCAAACAAACCCAGTTTGGCCCACTCAGAGATGGGATCGGGGGAGGGTGGGATATAGGCAGACCTTGTCTCTACTCCGAAGAGTAGAGCGGAGTGGTTGTTTCTAAGAAGATCCCTGACAAAAATGAAAGCAAACAAAAGCAGGTACAAGAAAGCATAGCCAAGGGTTACCGGGCCAGCAGTTAGACTAGGGGCAGGAAGAACAATGCACCCCTAGTCTAACTATAGGCCTGCTAACCCTACCCCCACCCTCTAGCTCTACCTAGATCCCTTCCTCCGGTCTAGGGCCGCTAGCTACAGATTCCACGCCTAGTTAATCTTTTGAAAGCAAAAATAAGTATATAACGTATTCTTGTAAAGATTTCTACAATGGATTAAGTAAAGTAAATGATACCTTAGTTAATAGCCGGAGAATCCATATTGTTGCCTAGAAAGGGGCATAGTCTTAATAATAAAGCGACCCTGCATAAAAAAACAAGATTTAGAACGTTAGCACAGGTGCAGGGAACAGTTCATACTCGGGAAACCGTCACAGCTGACCTTGCCACCAATTTCCTCGAGAAGCACTGTGCAAATGATTGGGATCATCCTTTCCTTCCATTTTCTTGAACTAAAAAACACAAAAAATAAAACCTTAATTTCATCAAACGGGATCGTTTTGTCTATTGAACTAAATGAAAATTTATACTCACTTTAGGATACGATTGTGACGTGGGATCGCTTGAAGAACAGACATACATATCTTCTTGCCCACCGTAGTACAACGATGAACTTAGGGGAGAAGGTTCGACTCTCTCCTGAAAGATCGATCTCCTCTCCATGTTCATTATGCTACTATTTGCACTCGCCGTATTCTTAGCTACATTCTCCGCTGCACAAAAATAGATGGCAAACGTGTTAATTGCATTTATGATTAGGATTCAAGATTTAGGACATGAACTTTTACGTTCTTGATGATGTACAAGACCTAGTAGACATTAATTACCATTATAATCCCTCCGTGCCAAATCTATGTCCACAATGGAAAAGGCACACCATTTTAGATATGTGAAATTATTACGCTTTTAAATTAACTAAATGACAATTTTACCCTTAATAACAAAGGGAGTAATGAATTTCTCCATCTCATAATTAAAGGGTAAAACTGGAAAGTAGGCACTTAATTTCGAAAGTGGACACTTATTTTGGGACAAACTAAAAAAGAAATGTGCACGTTTATTTTGGGACAGAGGGAGTATTATGGAAATTCATACAATAGTAATGCATGTTAACTTTTTAATATTTATGTGTATCAAGGATAATTGACGGGAAATTTGTTTAAAGATCAAGATGTCATGCGATTAGAGTGAGATCTTGGATCAACAATCTTACATCATTTATAAAAGAAAAGAAAATAAAGAGTGGGGGAACGAAAATCTCTTTCAACTGCAAAGAACACACAAAAAGACAAAACTTAATACACACACACATACATACATATATATGCATTTATCTATACTCCATGTAGAAGTTTTAAGCCCAAAAAGAATATGTGGTAAATAGCTAAATTTTTTCCTGTCTGATTAATATTCACAATAGGGCTAGCATTCGAGCAACTAGTATTCCTATTCGATGACAATGTGGGAAACTATGCCTTCGCAAAATATAAGACAAAAACGGTGTACCAAGACTTCCCATAGATGGTCATTTAACTAAATAAACCGAATCTCAAGAGTTGTAAAGTGACTCTTTATATCATTTGAGCCGTTCATAATGGTCATTAATTACAGTAATCTAGGAAACTTGTTTTACTTAGATTAAGTCAACTGAATTGTGTACGTATTTAATATTAGAAGTTCTAGTTTTCTAGAATCTCAGTTTTCTATTTATCAACAAAAAGTGGAAAGACGCTTTCCAATTAGAAGGATCTAAAGTAACGAATAGAACTACCATATAAGATGTATTTTGCAAATTTTCAAGCCAAGAAAGAAAGAAATCCCAACCTGAAGTTACATGGGTGGTAGTCCAAACCTGGCTCTCCGATGTCTCTTTTTGTGTAGCTCCAGTGAACTGTGAACAATTAGGGTTCCTTGCCAATACCTAACCAAATAGAAAAGCATCAAACAGTCGCAACTTCTAGAACTTCTTCAAAGATCTATGCATCAAGATTGTCCCATTTGGAGACTTGAAAGAAAAATTACACATTTGTAGATGATATGCAATTACGATTTCAAACTGTCCTTTGGATAAATGACCTTAAATGTGTTTCCAATCAGCTCAATGACCGTCATCTTATCCGCCCTTGGTTCAAAACAGCTTGCCCGCGGTTAAAACAGTATGCTCCCATTAAAAACGTAGAAACACAATAGAAGTTCTTTTTGCAAAACCAACTTTTGGAGAAGGCCGTTGAGTTAAATAGCCCAATTTTTGAAGCTAGGGATATTAAGGTATATAATCGTAATTTTGATTACATCTATATAACCATCTCATGAGTATGAAACTCATTTAAGGTCGTATCCTTAAATGACATTAAGGATGACAGATTTCCAATCTTATCCTTTTTGTTGTCGGGTTTTCTTGGATTTTCTTCATCTAATATATGTTTGCATACATCACACCCCAAACCCTACTTTCAACTGGGATACATTGCTTTCATTCGATCTAAGTTATATACAATTATACTATTGCCATTGGATCTGCGCGTATTCGCTTAGCCACATAACACCATGTGCAATTTTTTTGTTTAGTGTGGTTATCTTTGTGCATTTGATTATTGATCTTTGCCATGCTAACATAAAACAACAAGGATCATAGAAAATTTCCAACAAAAACAGTGATGTCACCAAATGTTACTACGATTCGATTATAACAAAGTCTGGTGTCATTGAACATTGAGAAATGTGGCCAAATTCAATTGTGGGTTTCATTGCAGAAGCTACCTAGAAGCATCAAGATCATCAACAATTCATATCTAGTACTCAGTCTTAGGGTTCAAGAAACCAACAATCAACTCATAATCAAAGATAGCCCTAAAAAAGGGTTTTAACTCAAAATTTTCGAAACCCCTGCAATTCACTTAACAATTAACCCTAATAACACAAGATCAAAACAAAAACCCACAAATAAATCCAAAATTCCATAGAAATAATCGTTTGACCTATACAGGTTTCAATTTAGTTAATATCAAATCAAAACGAACAAAACCCTTAATCCATTTCATAATCGTAGTGTCGAATTGACCCTTGATTCCACACCCCAGATTGAAATTAACAATCACCAGAATAAATCAGCAATTAACAATACGTGTTTTATGGAAAATTGAACCTAGTTAAAAGGGAAAACGATCATACCATCGACGGAGGAGGGAAAATTGAAGCGAAAACTCCGGTGGACGACGGCTGTGAGTTGTTATCACCGAAAAGTTCAGCAGTGAATGATGAAGACGAGGATGAGCGGTGGGGCGGCGGCGGCGGCGAGAAGGAAGTGGATTGATTCTTGTTTTCCATTAATGTGTGTAGAATTGTTGTTTGTTTGTTGAATCAAATAAAGAAAAACAGAGGAATCGGTGGATAAGATTTGCAGAAGGTGCCAAAATAGAAGTACCAAAAGAAGTGAGAACAGAGCACGTGGATATGATTCACATCAACGAAGAAATCAAGCTATCGACATTTCTTTCGATTTATCGACATCAAAATTTGTCACGTTCTCCGCACGTGCCAACTTTAATTGAACTGAGATCTTCGAAATAAATGATCTTAAATGAGTTTTTGCACAAAAATATCATCATTTACTTGTTTTCCTAATTGTTTATCCGGTAAACGATTATCGATAGAAGTCAACATTGTGATTTATTTTGATGCGTAAGATTTTAGTATATTACAACATATCGAATGCAATGATTTAGTGCGTTTACCTGGGTAAGAGTCGTCATTTTCACTTACCGGGTAAGATTCTCCATCATTTTCATCGCTCTTACCCGGTAAGATTCTTGACCTTTCTCATGTTCATCCGATGAGAAAATTTATCCAGTAAGTATTTATCAAGTAAGTGTTTAGCAAACGGCCCCGAAGTGGATAGTATTCGAGTAAGATTGAGCTTGTGAAAATTACTGATAGGATTTTTGATATATAAAAGATAATAAAATTTAGATATGCATAACGTCCGGTTAGCCCGGTCCCATTGGTATGCCAAGTAGGCCCGGCCTCATTCGATATGCGTAGATTTGATTTAGAGAATAGATTCTTTCTTGTAAGAACATGACAAGCTAAGGAGTCGTTTACCAAAACGCTTATCTAGGTAAGCACTTATAAAGTCACATTACTTTACCGGATGAATATGATAAGGACCAAGAATTTTACTCGTTAAGAGCAAAACAAGGACCAAAAGTCTTACCTAGTAAGTGACGTCGACGACTCTTACCACGGTAAGCGTTTACCGGGTAAATTGTGCATACGATGTCATTTTGGTGGACTAAATTTTAACCCGTAAGTAAATGATAGTGTTAAATTTTACCGGTAAGCGCTTACCGAATAAGTGTTTGGTAAATAACCCCTAGTCCCCTAACTAAAATCATTCAGAACAGGCAAGCATTTCTTGAAATCCCATAAGATGAAATAGATTGTTTTATACACTGTAACTTGAGTAAATTACGTTTTTCATCATGTTATTTGTTGAGTTGGGTTCCAATCAGAGGGAGAGTTAAAATGAGAAGCGTAAGAAGGATCTCCAACCTTGAATGCACATTAGGATGAGATGTACCGGATTAATCCTCATATCGAACGCAATTGATAGGTGAGTTTGAGATTAAAAGTGATCAAGGGTCCAGATCATTTCTTACGCTTCTCACATTAACTTTCTCATACGATCTTTTCGCCTAATTTGTTGAAAATTCCTGTTTTTATTCATATAATTTTGAAATTATGATTTTCATCCTAATAGTTTATAATTCATTACTTTTTTCATCCTTATAGTTCAAAATTTATTCTTTTTTGTCCCTTAGTTTACAGTTTATTTCTATTTTAATCCCTCATACTTAATTAGTCTTAGGGACGAAAATAAAAATGAATTACAACCATAAGAACGGAAGCCACAGTCTCAAAACCATAGAGACGAGTTCTACATATTTTAACAAACCAGGTGAACGAGAAACATAATTTACTCTAGTATTTATCGATACAATTTGCTTAAAGAAATCGATACTGGTGCGAAAATCATTTGCGAGAAGACAACGAAGGACAGGGGTGTAATATGTACTTTTTACATAAACTGAAGGGCCAGTTTATAAATACTTCGAATAATTAAAATGGATAAGGTGAAATGCATGGTCCCATTGTAATGGATCCAAAACACTAGTGCACCTTCAAATCTTGATTAGACTTTTATAGCCCAGGGAACAAACTCTGAGGGGGTGTTTGGTTCACAGAATGTAATTTGATGGTTTGAGTTTTTTTTTAAATTTTTTTAAAAAATTATCTGTTCAAATTTAATAAGGTTATTAGAGATTTTCCAAATTATTCTGGTTTAAGTATTTATAATTTTTATAGTGTTTTGATTTTAAAAAAATGTTGACGTGTCATTTAATAAAGTCTGTATGCAATAATATATGAGTATTGATTTTCAAGATCACTCTTACCTTTTTACGACCTCCTTCGTTTCATTTTTCTTTGCTCTTTAGTTTTCGATCGATCTTTAATGATTTTTAAGAAAATTGTAAACTAAAAATATCTGAAGGAACAAATAACTATATGTGGAGGTTCAAACGAGAACACCTCCATTTTACGAGAACACGAGAACACTTTTATCACATATGATATTATGCATGAGGGGACCTGGTGGTATGCGGACAACATGTTCTACGACTTGGGACGCACCAAAGGTTGTCTATGATTTAGCATCACATGTGATGGTCTTGATGGTTTGATTTTATCATATCAACAACACCTTATCACATGTGATAATATTTGTGAGAGGGCTTAGTGCTGTAAAGGCGACTTGGCCCACAACCAAGATCGCATCAAAAATTTTCCACGTCTCTGATTTAGTATCACATGTGTATCATACGTAATGGAATAATAACATCACATGTGATTGTCTATAGTAAAAGGGTGTTCTTGCTTTCTCGTAAAATAAAGGTGTTCTTGTTTGAGACCAAGGGTTTTTCGTGAGACCCGTAAGACCAATTCTCAACCCTTGAATAAGATCTACAGTGTGAACATTCATAATCACAAAATTGTCACGAGACTTCTCAATAATCACAAAATTGCCACCGTGCAACTTTAGACCAGTGGATCATTAGCTTATAAAGTTGATCGATGAACATAAATTGGTCTTACGGGTCTCACGAAAAACCCTTGGTCTCACGTGAACCCAACCATATAAGCTAATGATATATATATATATGGGACTAATCAAATGAGAACTAATTAGTTTGTGATAACCATGAGGTCCAATCTCAACCATAAATCAATAGATAAATTAGAAATTTTTTAATTTTGGTAATTTTTAATTAAAATTTTAATGGAAGGGTATTTTAGGTATTCTCTCTCCTCTCTCCTATCTCCTCTCTTCTCTCTCCGTCCCCCGTCCCCCGGCCTCCGGCCACTGTTCTAGTGGGCGTTTGGTTTGATGAAATGGTTTTGAAGGATTTAGATTTCATGAAAGGATTCGGAACTCGAGGGATTTGGATATGGAATAATAATAATAATAAGTGATGGCAACAACTCTTACCACGGTGAACGCTTACCGGGTAAGTTGTTACATATGATATCGTTTTGGTATATTAAAATCTTACCCGATAAATACACAATAACGTTGAATTTCACCGTTAAACATTTACCGCGTAAGTGTTTAAGTAAACGACACCTAAACCACCAAAAGATTCCAAATCGTCAAAAAAAAGTTCCATCAGCCAAACAGACTTAATTTCCTAAAACTGCATGCTTCCAATTCCAAATAATCAAAAATGGAAAAGCAATTAATTCTCAAAAACAAAACAGACGTTAAATACCGTTTTTAATGTCAACTACTCCAGTTTTATTGCAACAATTCAATATTTACAGTACAATTACACATTTTTATATGTATATATTTCAAACATATTGTTTTTATGGACCCATTTCCTAATACTCTGCTTACTAAACATCAATACATCTACCTCTTCTGATTACACTCATCTTCAGCTTGCCAACAAACTCATCCTCAACCATCCTTCATCATAACAACAAAAAACAAACATTGGTAATTAAATGATTCACATATGCGTACGTAAATTGAGAAGCCAACGGCAAGAAAAATCATGATAACTGGGATATATTTGTATTAGTGCATTTGTTGTGTATCGGTTGAGAAATTGTGGCATGATTCATGGGTGGTCATGAATCCTCCAGGGTGCGTTTGGTGCATACACAGGACTAGACTGAACAGGCGAGAGTAAGGTAGGAAGGTGAAATGATTCCGGAAGGTTTTAGAGTTTTAATTTGACATAAGTAGTATAGTAATTTACCAATCTTGTCCTGATCTCCCTCATGTTTGTTCCACCTATTATGATGGGATAGAAAAAATTGCATTTTGTCCCACTCGGCCTTGTTATGCCTCAGTCTAATGTCCCAACAAACGAGAGACGACAAGTTTTTGTATTGTCCAGTCTCGTCTTGTCCCATGTACCAAACTCACCCCTAATGCACAAAACTTGGACCATGGCATATATCCAATGTGTATTCAAGCCTATTTTTTGACCAAGAAGGATCATTAGCCAATGATAACCGGGTCGCCGATAGATCCCAACCTCTGTGGAGGTCAAGGGTTCAAGCCTCGCCAAATGTGAGAAGTGTGCGCAAGTACTTTCCACAGGGTCGTTGAGAACCTGATTTCAGTTGCGAACCGAGGTACCGACAAGAGTCCACCACTTGTCCAAGATATTCATCATGAATGATTTAACATTCATCATGAATGCCTTAAAAATTTCTTCTCCATTATTCATGAAGAATGGCTTTCGATGGCTTCCCAGTTCACAATGGAAATGAGGTTCGCAACTGAACTTTCCTCTATATGTAGCAATACTCCTAATAAAAGTGTATCTTTTTTGTGTGTGGATTGCTAGAAGAAGGGTACCATGGTCAAGAATCAGACGTTGTCGAGGAGGAGATTTGTCAAGTGTGCAAATAATTTGCAGCCATCATCAGTTCCAGAGTCAGTTCAGGTTCAATATGGAATTCAGTCTCCTTCCCACTGCAATGTTAAAGTTTGAATGATAAATGAGATCATAAGTAATCGGCAAACAAGAATATGGAAAAGGCGACACAAAAGAAAACTGATAAGTTGATTATAAAGAACATTGTCCGATTCTTTTCGTATTTCCGAAACTAACTGTCAACAAATTTGCTTCTCATTCTAAGGATTTCTTAAAATCAGAATAGGGATGCATTTCTAGAAAAACATAAATACATGGCACCTACAAGACTATGGTTGAAACTAGCAAAAAAGTTGCCGACCGATATTTGGGGGGAAATGGATGATCGAGGCTTCACCCAGACTAATTCAATGACAAGTCGCCACTGTGCCCTGAGATAAATCTTCCGGTGGCCAAAAGCACATATGTAGATGGCAGGATTCGAATCCGGATTGATTTTATCATCCCTTATCTTTATCCACCACACTACCACCCTTGCAGTTGACCGATAAACTAGTTGTTAGCAGCATGGTTTTAAAATGCGCTTGAGGTGTACGCCTTGAGGCGAGGCGCTGGAAAACTGAGTCTGAGGCGGCGCCTCTCATGGGCTAGTTGAATTGTACGCCTCAAGCCAAGGCGGGCCTTGATGTGGTGAGGCGAGACTGAGGCGGGGGTTAGAAATTAGGGTTTAAAATTGACTTACTAATTTTACTTTTTACAAAATAAGCCCATTCTCCATCTCATCTTCTCCTCCCTCTTGCTGCTTGTAGTTTAAATTTGTCATCTCCAACGTCTTCGCCTGTCTCCCAATATATATATATATATATATATATATATATATATATATATATATATATCCCACATTGAAGAGTATCTGGTAGATAACTTATATCTTCTCCACTCTTCCACTTTGTAAATATTTAGTACTTACAAAATTTTCGTATAAATATTTTATTTTTATATATCCGCCTTGGGGCTTAACCTTGGAAGGTCTCGAGACTTACGCCTCTCTAAAGGAGGGAAAACCCCACGAGGCCCGATTCTGCTTTTTAAAACCTCAGTTAGCAGAAAAATTAGTTGTTGGCTTATAAGATAGTTATTTGCTGAAATGCTAGTTTTTAGCTGATAAACTAGTCATGTTTGTAAAAAACCAGTTGATAAAAATGACCTAAAATGACATGTTAAAAGTTTAATTTAAAAAATAGATAAAAAGATTGATAGGGAAAAGGTGGGAAAAGGCTTTGGGGCTTACTGAAACACTACTTCAGGTAGCATTTCAAAAAGCTAGCTTTTATGGTTGCCAAACATAACCCAAGTATATCATCAAACTCACCATTTGATAATTTGGCATGATGATATGAGATGATAGTCGATGCCATTTTCAATTTTGTGTAACTGGTTTATAGTGTCACTTCATCAGCTGGTAAAAGTTGATTGTGTATTTTGTAGGCAGCATATATTGCATTTAGTTTGAACATAGTTTAATAAGAGTATTTGACCAGTCACGCAAATATCTAAAATATCATTTAGTGAAGAACAGGAAAGAGGACTCTTGGGGTACCACAATTAATGTCACCAATATCTTGGAACATAAATCAAGGGGAAAGAATGTAAATTATAATTTAAACCTTACGCAAAAGAAAAAATTGCATTTACTTTGCAAGGATGGAGTAAATTACATTAGTAAGTCTAAACCACACCAACATAGAATTATGGTTAAGTTCATACATTATACTCAAAATCAGTTGTATACAGAATTACTCTTTTAACCACAAAGCAGGTCCTTTTCAGGTTCACACTTATACCCTCAACGGGGGTTCCAAAAGACAATCAACAAGCTACAGATTGTTTGTGTTCCATTGTGGCATGCTAATTCTCTTATAATATATATCACATTAATACACATGAAGACGGATTCTTTAATAAGGTATTATGGAAGTAGTATACACTAATTGGACAATTACAAGCACTTTTGACCCTACATTAAACTTAGTTGTGCACAAGGAGAAAAGGACCTGTGCAACAATAATTCCAGCAAAATCTTTAACCAGAGTTTGAGACCAGTTGTAATAAATTCTAGCAGCTTAAAGTGAAATCTCTTCATCACATGAAGTGTTTCTTGTAACTTGTAAAGTACATGAAACAAGAATGAGAAGTCAAACTGATTAAAATTCGAACAAACAATGTAAATTCCTGAAACCAATCTCCTCCTTCACAAGCTGAAATTTGTTTCATGAGACAAAATCATCATGAACAGTTTCACTAACCACTCTGTATAATAAGATAAATACTGAATGCGTACGGGGAAAGTTCAAGTTAGAACCATAAATATTTTTAGAATCTGGGAACCAACTCTTTCATATATTATTCATGATGAATAACCCTAAAATTTTCATAAATAATATTCATCATAAATATCATGCATTTGCATTATGAGTAATTTTCATGATGAATATCTATCACGATATTCACCATTAATAATACATGAATAGTTGGTTCCAAGTTCTCAAAATATTTACGGTTCTCATTTGAACCTTCCCCTAATGAGAAAATACTTCAACCTTGCTAACATTTATCTAGGACAAAGATATCATGCTACTCCCTACTGCTTCTTGTATCAAGATTCAAGACAGAAACACATTATTACACAAGTTCTATCGGTGTCCTTTGCATCTGGCAATATCATCCCAAAATCCGTTTTATTTATAACGGCTACAAATTCCTCATGTTTGTTGATATTTTCCTCTAATGTGCAGGCATACCACACAATTTTTACTTCATGTCCTTCTCCATATTATGGATTTATGATATTAGTTCACCCAAAAGTAATCTTCAGTGTCTCCTACATCTTGGTGCCAAACTCAAGTACTCAACGCCGTGTGCTTTTGATAGATTTTCCTTTCAGGGATTTTTATAATGGACATACTGATAAACTGTTATACCCTAGCTCAAATTACAAACAGAAAACGTACCTCTAGCTGTCGAATTGTAAACGTGAACAATGGAAACAGGAAAACGATTGACAATCGGTAATTGAGGACGAACAATATTGAAATTGTCGGCCAATCTATTGTGAAATTGGAAATCGATTACAACTCCCAGACTTTCGAGAGGTCTGGGATTCTCTCCTCTAAGCTTTCGCTTTACACTCAACAACTCAATTTCTCAAAACAGAATAATCGGCTCTAACCGAACAGCTAACTATTTAAGCTCGACGCATTTACCAAACTACCCTCAATTAAACGATACAAATCAGTAGCTAAGCTGCTAACTACAGATTCCTTCTTCTATACGTGAACCTCAACGGAGGTTTACCAATACTCCCCCCCAAAAATTTCACCTTGTCCTCAAGGTGACAATTAGGAAATTGCTAAAGAAGTGCCTCGTAATTCTCCCAAGAAGCTTCGAAATCTGACATTCCTTCCCATTTTACCAAAACCTCAACTTGACCCACATCACCATTTGGTATCTGTCGCACATCCAAAATGTCTTCCGGAACAGCTTGTAATACCAATTCGTCCGAAATCTGGGTTGGAAAATCTTGAGTAGAAATACAACTTCCCACCGCCTTTTTTAATTGAGACACGTGAAAAAGCGGATGAATCTTCGCTGAACTCGGTAAATCCAAACGATGCGCCACACTCCCAATCTTTTCCAGCACTTTATACGGTCCATAAAAACGGGCCAGAAGTTTAGGACTATTCCCCATTACCAGCGATTTCTGTCTGTAAGGACGCAACTTCAGGAAAACCCAATCTCCTATCACAAACTCCACTTTTTTTCGCTTCAAATCAGCATACTGTTTCATACGAAATTGAGCCTTCAACAATTGCAATTTCACTTCATCAAGCATTTCTTCTCTATCCGTCAACTCATGGTCTACCGATTGTACCCTCGATGAGTTTGCTTTATAATGAAGTAAAGGAGGAGGCTCTCTTCCACACAACACCTTAAAAGGAGACACTTTAAGGGCCGTATGAAAAGAGGTATTATACGAAAGTTCAACCCATGGGAGCCACTTGCACCATTGTTTAGGTGTAGATGACACCCAACATCTCAATTATTGCTCCAAGTAACTATTCACTACCTCGGTTTGACCGTCTGACTGTGGATGGTACGCCGAACTGAACTTCAATTTCGTTCCTTGCAAACGGAACAACTTCTTCCAAAATCGACTAAGGAACACCTTATCCCGATCCGAAATCACCGACTGAGGAACCCCGTGCAATCGTACTATATTTTTTACGAATGCTTCGGCCACCGTTTGAGCATTAAAAAGGGTGTTTTAACCCAACAAAATGGGCGTACTTGCCGAGTCTGTCTACCACTACCATGATGGAACTCGTACCGTTTGATCGGGGTAGACCTTCGATGAAATCCATAGAAATCTCGTCCCAAACTTTATCTGGTAAGGATAAAGGTTGCAAAAGGCCAGCCGGACTGCCGCTCAGATTTTTATTCCTCTGACACACCTCACAATTTTTAACCATATCCACTATGTCTTTCTTCATTCCCACCCAAAAAACCTCCGATACAATACGTTGATACGTCCGATCTTCTCCCGTATGACCGCCAATTGGCGATCCATGAAATTCCTCAAAAATTAACGGTATCATTTTTGACAAACGAGGAATAACCAGACGACCTTTATACAGTAGCAACTCTTGTTGAATCTCGAATCCCTTGTGCTCGGCTTTCCCCAAACTTAAGTCGTCTTTGATACGGTTCAGAAAACTATCGCCAATAATTTCTTGTTTCAAGTCATCCCAATTCCTCCACGTAAAATTCACCATATTGGCTAATTCCACCGAATCGATTTTACGAGAAAGCGCATCCGCCGCTTGATAGGAACTCCCCGGCTTGTAGACAATTGAAAAGTCATAACCCAGTAATTTACTAGCCCATTTCTGATATTCCGGTTCCACCACTCGTTGCTCTAATAAAAAACGAAGGCTTTGTTGATCTGTACGAACTACAAACTTCTTTCCCAACAAATATGGTCTCCACTTTTTTATAGCCAACACAATGGCCATTAACTCCTTCTCGTAAACCGACTTCT